CAGATAACAGTCATGAATAACCATTTGGCACCATCTTGTTTACAGATGAAAATTCATGGCCATGAATAAACCAGGGTTCCCTGTACTGAGAGGCTCAGTATTATGTACTTGTACTCGGTGAAGTCTACAGTCTGGCTGTTGTTCAACTCTCTCCTGTACGGGCTCATTCAATAGGAACCAAAATGAAGTGTTGCAAACCTGTATCAGCTTCTTCTGTCTCCTTCAGCATCAGTGAGCGCTCCGTGGTGCCCTGGGCACTGCTGTGATCCTCTTCTAGTCAGCCCTGGGCAACCTAGGCCTTTCAGGACCTCGCTCTGTTTTCAGCCCCTTACATATTCTGAAAACATCTTTGCCTTTGAGTGGCTGCAGGACATGATGCCAGTAGCTGCTCTGTCACTTCTGTACTGCAGTCCCTCCTGTCCTTTCCAGCACCCTGTCACTACAAGCCTGGGTGTTTCTCGGTGTCGCAGAGCAGCTGCAGGGGAGCAGCCTTTCCCTGCAGACACTTCCTCCTTGAATGAGGTCTGGCTGCTGACGGCTGATCTAATCCCAGTCTAAGGAAGCAGGATGGTGCAAGCCACCCTTCTTTGCCTGCAGGAGGTAGGTTTGTAGGGGAGGTGAGCAAAATACCCCGTAGCTTGAATTTATTAGCAGGTTTGCTGAGCAAATTCCTATCTCTAAATAAATCATGGCTGGGAGATGCTTCTTGTATCGATGAGAAATATTGTCTGCCTTGCTGTGTGTCTGTGGCTGTGACTAGTGGCCTCAGCTGTGCTTCTGATGGTAGAGCAAGGCAAAAAAGATGTTTACTTCTCCTGATTTTCTGGGTTTGATTAAAGTGATTCTGGTATCGTTACTCTTTATTTGTCTTGTAGAATCTATCCTGTCATGCCAGTTTTGCTGAGACTGAACCTGGGATGTGCACAGAGTGCACATTAAGACTACTCCTATCTCTTTCCAATAAAAAAGTTCCCCATGAAAAATAGCTTCAAGTTTCACTTGAACTAGGAAATTGACTCTCTTCTTTTTTTCCCCTAAATCATACTGAGCTGAGGCTTCCATTCTCATTTGTGTATTAGGGACCAGTGTGCATATTTTAAATATGCATAGAATAGGCATATATTCTACATTTAAAAGCAATTATTATTTTTTTTTAACTACTTGATCACATATATTAATGTAGATTCTATGAGTGTAAGAGGAAAACATAAACCAATGCATATAAGTGATACAATATAAGTGATACAGTGGAAGTGAATGACAGAGTTTGCAACGTCTGAGCAGTAAAGCAGGAGTGACCTGAAAATAGTCATAGAGAGAGGAAATGAAAAAAAAAAAGAAGAAGAAAAAAGCAAGAGAAAATAGATTGTTTCTGAAAGATCAGAATTTGAAGAAATAATGTCAAAAGCTTCATTAAGAAAACAGTAGATGAGGAGAGCAGATCATCTTCAGGATCTGAGGAAAAGCAATAGCTGGACGCTAGAAGGCATCTGTAATAGACTGAGCAGGACTGACACCTAACTGTTGTTCGGAAGAGGAACCAAGTAAATGGGATACCTGCTCAATTTCTTTTTGGGGACAGCTTTGCTGGACAAGAGTGTTGTTGATGTTAGTTATCATTTTATTGCAGTCTGGTTTGTGGTTTCTCTCTGGAGTGCTACTTACAATCATTTATAAAATTCAAAATATCTCACTGTTGCTCTCTATTCCTTCAACTCAAAACTCACTAATGAGGAGGCTATTTGCAGCCAGTTTCTTTTGCAAATTAGATAAATAAAAATACCTTTTCCATAATGGAGAGAAAAAAAACATAATGCATTTCAGTAAACTACATAGACTTGAATGGAGTTACTGAATGGTACTTACTGACTGCAATTTTACAACTGAATATCTATTAAACAAAATCTGTTCCGTTATAATGGAAAGGAGTACTCTTTTACATTTTTAGTCTATCTACAGATTTTCACACACCTGAAGATCTTAACAGTTTAAAAACATTGAGATAGTAATAAAGAGGTTTTAGGCAATCCTTCTTCATAAAAGCAAGAAAAAAATTTACTAAGTTTTCATGCAGTCACTTCTATTTCAAAATATTTCATCATAGCATAAAGTCATGGGAATACTTTTTCACAATTTGTTTTATAGCCTTTATTTTTTAGCTTTCCAGGTATTCACTCAGGGTAGAATAGAAAGCAGAATGCTATTTAAAGATAACTTCCAACACTTAAAAATCAAGAGGGTTTTTTTTTTGTCCTTTTGTAATAAAGGCTTGTATTTCAGATCACACTATGATTTAAAGAAATTGCATGCCTCTGTATCAAGAATGTAAACAGTGTTGTACTGAGGAATGTGAACACTATTAAACCATCGCACTGTTAGTAACAAAGCTGGACAAAGGGAAGAGTATTCTTTGCTGTGCAGAGTGTTTTGAAGTCTTGCAAGTTAGAAATAAACTTATTCTTAAATGTAGTGCAATTTCATTTAAAAGTTTGATTACCTATCTAAGAGCATAGTGTATTCTAAAAAAAAAGTGTATTCTTATTTTATATGATGCTAATTGTTACCATGTAGGTTAACTGTGTATTTCATTGCATTTCCACATCTGTAGTGTCTACGAGTATTTTTCTGAAAAGGGCTTTATATTGGTGGGTACAATAGCTCTATCACAAGCACAAATACAAGCAGCAGGTTTGTCCTGGAGAGATGGTAGGAAACTCCTTGGCCTGGTAAAAGCCTCAAAGCAACACGGTAACTAGGAATTGGCACTGAACATTTTTCTTCTACCCTCTCTTGGACCATATTTGCCATGCAGTTAAGTTAGCAAATAGTCACAGTAAGATGGAATTCAGTCATTTGAAGAAACTTAGTACTTTTCTTTATGAAATTTGAGGAGGGAAAAAAATAAAAATAAAAAAAAGAGATGCCCCAGAGAAAGTGACAGCCGTTAAAGATCTTTTACCTAGAAGGAAGTTATAGCTGCTGATTCTATATTCTAATGATTGTTAATCATTTAACAATCGTAGGATTAATTTTCCTGAATATGTTTGAAGATTAAGAAAAAGCACATTCAATCACTGATTCACAGTGCCTATCATCCAAGAATTCTGCACTGAATTTCATAGGTAATCCTTGATTATTTCACTGGGACAGTCTAACGGTGGCATACATATTTTAAAGATGTGTTTGAATGGATATTTTGACTTTGTTTCCCCAGCTCGCAAACAGGAAATCTTTGGTGTGGGGAACAGAAAAACTGCTATTTCAGGAAAATCTGGACATATATGTGTAATAGGATTGTTCAAAAGCTAAAAGAAGTTGCTCGTAGAGCTTGGGTAGTCTTAATGCCTTGCAGACAGTGGATTATTTTCCATGTGACTAAGCTGAAAGGGAAAACATACAGCAGATGATGAGAAAAATAACAAATGTCTCGGGAAGTGAATTTTATAGGAAATAGAATTTCTAATATACTAAATTCTTAACCAGTTATACTTTCTACCTTTTACTCACTTTTGCTTTTCTTTTTTCAGCTTTGTGATTTTCTAGATAAAGTAACCAGTTAATGTTATAACGTTATGAAATTAAATAAAAATGGCAAGGGAACTAGAATAGATCATGGTCTTCATGGTCTTATTATTATAAAAACTCCCAAATCATACAATTATTTTGATGTCAGCAAGGTATGAGATTCAGGAAATAGAATATCAAGAAGAGACAAGACAAATAGTTTGCCTTTGCAAGATGCCCTTAGGAATGCTCTTCTGCATCTTTTTTAGAAGTGACTTCAGTTAGTTAGGACAGTGTGCCAACTATAAGAAAGTCTTTCCTTAGAATTGCCCACAATGAGCTGTGCTCTGGTTTTGCTTTCATGCAAAGTGGGGGAATTCATTCTTTGGAAGTAAACGCTGGTATCCAAAGAAGGGGACATGGATGTTACTTGTCCATGGATACCCCAGAGAAAAAGGATAAGGAGTTTCTGCAGTAATAATCTAAATTAACATCAAATCTCTTCCCGCTTATTAATTTAAGGCTTATTAATTTAAGAGGTGCCAAGTTTTTAACATGGTTCACACTTGGCCGTCATCTGCAGAGAATAGATGTCAAGAATCTCTGTTTTGTTGAACATAGCTCATACAGAAACTTTTTTACATTCCTTTAGGGAATGCCTTTTGAATGCTAAGGAACAACTTCCTCTACAGTCACCGTGGTGGAAGCTGGGGACTTTCAGTGTGTTGTGCGACTGAGTCATTTGTGACGTTTGTTTAAATAATAATTATACTCAGCTTAACATTTCCAACATTGCAAACATCAGTCCAAGCAATAGGCTTTTGAAGTAGCCAAATATTTTTATTCATGTTTACAAACT